ATAACTTGTTATTATGCATGTATCTAAGACCGATAATTGGGTTTCAATATTGAAATAATTTTTACGACACACATCTAAAACTGCAAATAAAGCTGTTTGTCTTGCTCAACGATTTTTGTTGTGTTCTAAAGGCTCCATTATGATTAAGTAACATGCCCAAATAGTTAAATTTATTTAGAATTTCTAATTGACAACCGTCATAGCTTCAGATCTCGTCATTTCTCAAAATGCCACCATTTCTTGTATTGACAGTTAAATCCATTTTTTTATGTTTCTAAAGAATTTAGCCTATCCTGTAAACCTTCGGGCGTCTCCGAGAATATTACCATGTCATCTGCTCACATTAACAGAAACTAGTCTAGAACCTGAATTTCAGCCAAAGGATAGTTGTCAATTAAAAATTGTATATCATAATTATTAACGTAGAAAGAAAACAATATAAGTGATAAACTTCCCCTTTGGAACAATCCATTTTCACAATCAAAGTAATTACAGCGACCTTCATAAACTTAAATAATTTTCAATCAATACCTTCCCTTATTAATTTAAACCACAGATCCTGGCGATTTACAAAAGCAAACAAGCCAAAGTGAGCACCAGTTATTTTACTATATTTTAGGTAAAAGAAAATCAGTCTATTATTAAGAAAAGATGTGAAAAGTTTTCCAAGACAACTAACAATAGTAGTTATTTACATCAGTCTATTATTAAGAAAAGATGTGAAAAGTTTTCCAAGACAACTAACAATAGTAGTTATTTACATCAGTCTATTATTAAGAAAAGATGTGAAAAGTTTTCCAAGACAACTAACAATAGTAGTTATTTACATCAGTAGCAACGCCCCGCCCCCCCCCCACCCCCCACCCCCAACCCCGTTTTGAAAACAGAGACAATATTAACTTTTTTTCCTAGAAATAGAAAATGTCCATATGTATATGTATATTGTTGAATTAAGTAATAAAGCAAGGCATTACACACCGCCTTACGTTTGATAAAAAAAACTCATTAAAATACCATCTGAATCACACGCACTATTCGTATTTAGTATGTTAATTGCATTTAATATTTCATAATTTGTTATAGCAACGTCGAACTCGTCGTGAATACATCAGGAACCATATCATCATGACATCGAAAAATCGTTATCGTCTTCATTCATATGTGGAGTAGTTGTAAACAGTTGTGAAAGGAACAAGTTCGAGTTCAGTCAAGCGTTAGATTGATAGTTATTAATTCACAGCAAAAATATATCAAGGATAATGTACGGGGAATGATGCATAAGCAAGCCACGTATACTAAGTAACAATGGAGACGGCTGGAAAGTGAACAAACGAATCAATAATATTATACAATTATTGAATCGTGTAGATCATATCAAACGGTGTTGGAGCAGTAACATAATATATTGTGGGGTCAAATATATCTTGCATTGCAGCATCAAATATATCATACATTGTTGGGTCAAATATGTCATGCATTGTTGGGTCAAATATGTCATACTTTGTTGGGTCAAATATTTCATACTTTGTTGGGTCAAATATGTCATACATTGTTGGGTCAAATATGTCATACTTTGTTGGGTCAAATATGTCATACTTTGTTGGGTCAAATATGTCATACTTTGTTGGGTCAAATATGTCATACATTGTTGGGTCAAATATGTCATACATTGTTGGGTCAAATATGTCATACTTTGTTGGGTCAATTACACTTATGTATAACACACATTGTTGGACAAATAGATATATCAATATTGGATAAAAGTAGATAATACAATGTTGGAATTAACCATTTTTTAACTTTTGATAGCAAAAAGATTTGAGCATGATTTGCATTCGGAAGTTTTGTTGTCTGATATCCCCAATGCTTTCTGGTGTAGTATCCTACAAATAATGTAGAGTTATACCGTTTGTAATTGTGAAAAATCCAGATAAGTTTCCTTAGTTGATTCCAGCCAATATTTTTCGTTATGTATATGTATCTACTCTATGTATATTGATCGCTCTGTAACAATTCGTTCACCATCTACCTGGATATTTTCAAGATTACTTAAATCTATTATTCTACAGCTGTGTCATATCTCGCATGAATATTCTTACAAGGGGCGAATGTGCGGTCAACGTTTTTTCAGTGATATTTTTACTGAACATCCCTACTGAACATTACTAAACATACCGTACGTGTGTTGCATATTTTTGCCACTTTTTCGATATTCAAGTCTTTTTGTTTATGTCTTTTTCCATCACTACTATGTATTACGTCAAGGTGTGTGTGGTTGTCTATGTGTTGTTAAAATGAAATGGAATTGAGAGGGTTAAACTGTATTAAAGTCGATCATATTAAAGAAGACAGATTATAATCTTTTAGGATTTCATTACATCAGTTAATCTTTAGACCATTACTGCAGTTGTTTAGTAGCTTTTTTTTGACAATATCCCTGAAGAATGAAAGGCATCCTCAATGGCATGTGTTATATATTAACATGATGATAAACACAGCTAAACTAATTATGAAACACAGAAATCAGTTCAACTCCTTTTTCTAGAAAATATCATACAATTGCGATACTGACATTGTTGTAAAACCGTTAATTTTTGTGGGGATGCATTTTTATTGGTTTTGAGGCTTTCTCAATCCACGAACCGTTGAAATAGATATAAGTAGATTTATTGAGCTATATTTATCCACGAAATGAAATGTCATTGTCTTTTAACCGCGAAGTTAACCACAACGAGAGAAAAGGATTGTACAGTACTTCGATTACCTCAAGAAGCTTAAACACTTATCACTACACGGGCTGTCATATCTTTTCATACGGAAAAAATATTGATTAGTTCGTATCTGGATTTACTTAATTGACGGCTTGACTACCATCTGGCTGTTTGTGATTACTGAGTATACATAAACTAACACCACGCCGCCCCTAACAGACTGTACGAAGCTACACGACCGGGTATTTGTACGGGTGTGCTCATGCAATCTTCAGTTCCATGGATCGGATGAGTGCATGTATCAAAATATCGCCGCTGGTGATGTGAGTATACAGAAATTGAAACTATTGATATGTATGTATTTACTTATATCGGCACAATCTGACCGATGGCTAATATTTATCGCTTACTTTCTGACTTTTGTATGTTTATTCATTCTAGCCTCTCACATACTGTTAAATTTTAATATTAATTCAGTTTTGCCGAAATTGAGGAACCGTACATGGTATTGTAAATCTGACCGAATCAGAAATTTTAAACAGTATTATTTCATAATTTATAATGATCTGTCACTATAAATCAAATATATACTAAACAAAAGAGACTGTTGAATATTACATGTATAAAGTATTATCCTTGCTGATAACTAATTCTAACGAAAAGGGTGGTTCACATTTATGATTGACTATAAAACACAATAGCATATGTCCAGTCAGTTCGAATTTTGAAAATTGATTATGATACATCACTTCCTCATTAGTTTGACACACTTAATTTTGAGCTTGATTTTTGAAAAATGGCACACTGGAAACGTTGAATGAAGAAAGAAAGAAAATTAACGGTACTACAAGAGTTGAGCGAATGACCTACAAATTCATTTTCTCCATTAAACAAATTCCAGTTGTTCGAATCGCACCACAAGGTTACGAATGCAGTAAACTGATGGAGCATAAATGGTTACTACATAGTTTACTGTAAGATACATTAAATAGGTGAAAACAATTTTGATACCATCAATTGTTGCTACTGAAGCATGTGATAAAAAGTAAATCACCTGTACGTACATGTATCTATACATGCCTTCAAAACAAACATCGTCTCTATTAAAAATTTATGAATTAATCCCGAGTTCACAACAAATCATCGCTGTGCATGGGGTAACAATGGACCAATGACTGTCTTGATAGTTTTCTCAAATTACATCACCGTTTCATCAAACATACTCAATGCCCCAGTGACGTAGAAAAGGCAACTGTCCCTACCTTCTCACCCCTACCTTGACTTTTTAGAGTGGGAAGCAAAGATATATTTTGTCGCCTTTTACTATTCAGTTCATTCAGACTTTCATAATGCATGTTACCTAACATAATTATTATAATACCTCTTATTTCCATACATGTTGAAAAATTGATTACACGATTTTCTACATTGTATACATTTTTGTAGTTTTCAAATATTCTAAAAAAAATCATAACGAAATCAAGAATAGCCACACAAAAAATACCCCACACATTTCCAGATATGTAATATAGCTAGGTATATATCTGATGCGACACTTTGAACAAAACCATGCACGACTCGTTGTTATTAAAATAACGACAATCACCACATTACAAAGCTAGAATGCTCATTAAACTTTTATGTACCCACTTGTGTGGGAGTGTTGAAGAAATCTACTGAGCAAATATTTATCATGTTTGACTATTGCTTGGTTTCATTCGATAAAAAACAAATACAGCAATCACTCAACATGTGGCGAATGTACACGGTATTTACAGTGTCTTCATCTTAAGCTGTGTGAATTATTCATCACCAGTCAAGCAAATCAGGCTAGATCAGGGGACCATGTCTGTATTAAAAAACACTAATCGATAGAACGTCGACCTTATCGATTTGGTAGCACATGTCTGATATGTGCGAAGAATAAAATTCCAGTAATGTTTCATTCACAAAAAGAAAGTGATACCAACAGCATTAAACACGCTGATATTCAAATCACGGACTAAACATTTTTCACGTGTATAAAACAATAACAATATATATATATATATATATATATATATGAGAATAATAATCAGAAACACGATGTGCATTTAGGTGTAATGCTTTCACGAAAGCGCTCATGCTTTACACTTAAATGCACATCGTTTTTATGATTATTATTCTCATATATTGCACCAGACACTGAGCTGTTGATATTTTCATTATATATATATGTGAGTATGTGTGTGTGTGTGTGTGTGTGTGTGTGTGTGTGAGGGTGTGTGTGTGTGTGTGTGTGTGATATAGATGCTTGTAGACAATTTAGAAGGCTGCTATGTCTTCTATTGCAGGGCCGTAAGAAGGCCGACAAGGAGAAGAGTCGGCGGTGTGATGTTCGTGGGAGCAGTACTGATGGTGTGGTTGTTCTTTTCCCAAGCCATTCATGAGCAAACGTTAACCCTCCCAAACCTTTTAAAGTTTGCTTACCAACAGGAGAGCCTTAAACCCATACCATTTTCACTTGTTCCAAATTTGAAGTGTCCTAAAAACTCTACGAGAAATATTGTTATCATGGTTTTAAGCAAAATGTCCAATATTGTGACACGGCACGCCATTCGAAGGACATGGGGAAATCGGGAGATGCAAATAAAATACAACTTTAGTATGTACTTCGTTGTGGGTAGAGAGGAAGGAGTCAGTCTAAACAACGATAATGGAGATCTCTTGCAGGTGGATGTCGATGAAGATTACAATAACTTAACATACAAAACAATAGCTGCTTTCAACTGGGTCGTACATTATTGTCAGGGAACGAGGCACTTTTTTAAAATCGATGACGATGTGTATTTAGATCTAGACATTCTCAGTAAAATTCAAAGGGATGCCAATTATGTTCCAGATTATGCTATTCTTGGTTCATGCAACCAAATATCATTTCCGTGTAGGAAGTCAAGCAAGTGGCAAATTTCTTACGAAGAATACCCTTTTCAAATATTACCACCATTTTGCAATGGACCGGGATACGTGATGACGTTAAATACAGCCCGCAAAATATATGATGAAATGAGAAATACAAGAGTATTCAAATACGAAGATGTTTATGTAGGGATTGTTGCTTATAAACTTGGGTTATCGGTAAAGAATGTAGATAACTTTGTTTATAATATGAATATTTATGTTTACGACTGGTTGTTTAGTGACCTGTTTTCTCGATGTCATATAATAACACATTATGTTTCACCAGGTACTGTGCAACAATACTGGGATCGCCGAACCACGTTCGGCAAGGATAAAAACGATTGTTCTATATGGGGAATAGGCAAATTCATATTATCTTATATTGTATAGAAAATGACGGTTCTGAGTCGTTTTATGTACACCTATTGATCTTGTGAATTTTGTTATTCTGTTCTTGTTTAGACAGTAAAATATCTTTCCTAAGTATGCTTTGTTTATAACAGAATATCCCTAAATATCTTTGGTTTATAACAGGAATATCCCTAGGTATGTTTGGTTTATAACAGGAATATCCCTAGGTATGTTTGGTTTATAACGGGGATTTCCCTAGGTATGCTTTGTTTATAACAGAAATATCTCTAGGTATGTTTGGTTTATAACACAATATCCCTAGATATACTTCGTTTATAACAGAATATCCCTAGGTATGGTTGGTTTATAACAGGAATATCCCTAGGTATACTTTGTTTATAACACAATATCCCTAGGTATGGTTGGTTTATAACCGGAATATCCCTACGTATGTTTGGTTTATAACAGGAATATCCCTAGGTATACTTTGTTTATAACACAATATCCCTAGGTATGTTTGGTTTATAACACAATATCCCTAGATATACTTCGTTTATAACAGAATATCCCTAGGTATGGTTGGTTTATAACAGGAATATCCCAAGGTATACTTTGTTTATAACAGGAATATCCCTAGGTATGTTTGGTTTATAACACAATATCCCTAGATATACTTCGTTTATAACAGAATATCCCTAGGTATGGTTGGTTTATAACAGGAATTTCCCTAGGTATGTTTGGTTTATAACAGAATATCCCCAAATATCTTTGGTTTATAACAGGAATATCCCTAGGTATGTTTGGTTTATAACAGGAATATCCCTAGGTATGTTTGGTTTATAACGGGGATTTCCCTAGGTATGCTTTGTTTATAACAGGAATATCCCTAGGTATGTTTGGTTTATAACACAATATCCCTAGATATACTTCGTTTATAACAGAATATCCCTATGTATGGTTGGTTTATAACAGGAATATCCCAAGGTATACTTTGTTTATAACACAATATCCCTAGGTATGTTTGGTTTATAACAGGGATTTCCCTAGGTATGTTTGGTTTATAACAGAATATCCCTAAATATCTTTGGTTTATAACAGGAATGTCCCTAGGTATGTTTGGTTTATAACAGGAATATCCCTAGGTATGTTTGGTTTATAACGGGGATTTCCCTAGGTATGCTTTGTTTATAACAGAAATATCTCTAGGTATGTTTGGTTTATACCACAATATCCCTAGATATACTTCGTTTATAACAGAATATCCCTAGGTATGGTTGGTTTATAACAGGAATTTCCCTAGGTATACTTTGGTTTATAACACAATATCAGGTATGGTTGGTTTATAACAGGAATATCCCTAGGTATGTTTGGTTTATAACAGGAATATCCCTAGGTATGTTTGTTTATAACAGGAATATCCCTAAATATATTTATGGTTTATAACAGGAATATCCCTAGGTATGTTTGGTTTATAACAGGAAAATCCCTAGGTATGTTTGGTTTATAACAGGAATATCCCTAGGTATGTTTGGTTTATAACAGGAATATCCCTAGGTATGTTTGGTTTATATTTGTTTATAACAGGAATATCCCTAGGTAACACAATACAGATATACTTCGTTTATAACAGAATATCCCTATGTATGGTTGGTTTAATATTCAATATCCCTAGATATACTTTGGTTTTGGTTTATCCCTAGGTATATACTATCCCTAAATATCTTCGTTTATAACAGAATATCCCTAGGTATGTTTGGTTTATAACAGGAATATCCCTAGGTATACTTTGTTTATAACACAATATCCCTAGGTATGGTTGGTTTATAACAGGAATATCCCTACGTATGTTTGGTTTATAACAGGAATATCCCTAGGTATACTTTGTTTATAACACAATATCCCTAGATATACTTCGTTTATAACAGAATATCCCTAGGTATGGTTGGTTTATAACAGGAATTTCCCTAGGTATGTTTGGTTTAAAACAGGGATTTCCCTAGGTATGTTTGGTTTATAACAGGAATATCCCTAGGTATGTTTGGTTTATAATAGGAATACCCTAGGTATGTTTGGTTTATAACAGGGATATCCCTAGCTATGTTTGGTTTATAACGGGAATTTCCCTAGGTATGTTTGGTTTATAACAGGAATGTCCCTAGGTATGTTTGGTTTATAACAGGAATGTCCCTAGGTATGCTTGGTTTATAACAGGAATGTCCCTAGGTATGCTTGGTTTATAACAGGAATGTCCCTAGGTATGTTTGGTTTATAACAGGAATGTCCCTAGGTATGTTCGGTTTATAACAGGAATGTCCCTAGGTATGTTCGGTTTATAACAGGAATATCCCTAGGTATGTTTGGTTTATAACAGGAATGTCCATAGGTATGTTTGGTTTATAACAGGGTATATCTAGGTATGCTTTGTTTATAACAGAAATATCTCTAGGTATGTTTGGTTTATAACAGGAATATCCCTAGGTATGTTTGGTTTATAACAGAAATATCTCTAGGTATGTTTGGTTTATAACAGGAATATCCCTACGTATGTTTGGTTTATAACAGGAATATCCATAGGTATGTTTGGTTTATAACAGGAATATCCCTTGTTATACTCAGTTTCGAACAGAAATTTACACACAAATGTTCAATTTTAAACACGAATTTCCCCCTGTCAACTCAGTTTCGACGTATCGAACAGAATCCTTGTGTACACAGTTTCTAACACGAATTTCATTTTGTATACTCAGTTTATAAACTGAATTCCTGATTGGTACTCAGTTATCTAACGTAGATTTCCTTCCGTATACTCCGCTTTAATACTCGGGTTATGGTATGAATGTATACTCAGTCTCTTGCATGCATTTCCTTATGTATACTCAGTTTTTTAACACGAATTGTCTTAAGTATACTCAGTTTTTTAACACGAATTGTCTTAAGTATACTCAGTTTTTTAACACGAATTGTCTTAAGTATATTCAGTTTTTTAACACGAATTGTCTTATGTATACTCAGTTTTTTAACACGAATTGTCTTAAGTATACTCAGTTTTTTAACACGAATTGTCTTATGTATACTCAGTTTTTTAACACGAATTGTCTTAAGTATACTCAGTTTTTTAACACGAATTGTCTTAAGTATGCTCAGTTTCGAACAAAAATCCTTATTCACTCTCAATTTCATGAATGTTCCCATGTATATCTAGTTTCTTTCGTGAATTTATTTATGTTTACTCAATTTCGAACTGTAATATCCTGATGTTTACTTCGTTTCACACACGAATTTCCAGTCGTATATTGATATCCTTGTTAAGTACCGTTGGTTATTATGATAGAGTTTTCGTACATTATATATTTCTATAGAACTTTTCACGATAACGTTAAGGAGTATAATTCATGTTTGGTAAAATGAAGGAAAAAACATCCTCGAAAATACGTAGATGTTAGTTAAAGATACTTCAGAACATCTGACCTTTTTCCGGAATATGTATTGTGGTCACATCCCAATAGACACTGAGTCTTTACTGAAATTGGATTCTGTTCCCGACGGACTCTAGTGCAAGATCTCTAGATAACATCATACTTCAATGAGCACCATAGGTGAGTTAAAAGTAATGTAGAGAGCAATATTCCACGATATCACAATTAAGTATTTATGAACAGGTCCCATAAATCACTTCCTACTGAAGAACAGAGATATGGACATGGACCTTAACAGTTTTTACATTTAATATTTTATGACATTACCGACAGTATAAACACTAATGGACTAACAATTCCGTTTAATGAAGTATGGGCTGTTCATTGTTTCTCTGGTCAGTGTGAATAAGGTCCAGCCGCAGACTTCAATACGATGGCTCTGTCGCTAAGGAATAATTTGGCCGGAGTATATATATTATTAATCGTTGCTATACTGCTGTGTTTATATAGACATCATAGCAACATTGAGTATAAGGTATTGCCCGCACAGCAGAAAAACAGAAATCGATAGGCTGTATCGATATCATAATTGTCTTTAGGTTGGATAGATAAACAGTAGCTATGATAATTCTTCTGAACACACAATTATGAAAGCAATTATTGATTTCATTCAATAAAGATATCATTAATATTCTTAATTAGTTAAAGCCACCATCAGTATTTTTATATATTCTAGTTTGTCTATTCCGATAGGTGTCGCTTCATGACAGAGTATTTGGTGTTCTAGAACAATTCCTTCACACAGGAGACCATTAAAAATATGCTATACGAAGTCAGCAATAGATGTATTCGGTAATTATCATTATACTTGGTGATTTCGTGTGTTGTAAATCTTCTTTGGAAACCCGATATTCCTCACTTGGATTGACCAAGATTGAAGAGGAGATATATTTTGAGTCTCGCACATGTTTTCCTTTGGGATGGTATAATGACCCCTACAGCTTCTGATTTCACGTGGTATCATATTGTTGGCTGTCATTTTTCGTTTTGTTGGAGAGACATACCCTCAATGGGGTAGTAAAATAGACAAATCTAAGCGTAGAGCGGTGATAAAGAGGCAATCTGCTTAACAGGCCGAAGAGCGAGTGACTACCGCCAAAGGCTTGATGAAAAAAAAATCAGTACAAGACAACATTGATACTGTACACATACCAATGATCAGAAAACGTCGCATTTCTGTTTATGTGTTAGTAACAGACTTATTACATGAATCCATACCCAGCACACTTCAAGACAAACTGCCCAAGGTATTTGCAAGATGGATCCCACGAATGCTTCTAGGTGGCATTACAGTGTCACCATCAGTTGAGCTTTGCTAACTCGGTACAACGCCGACCCAGATAATTTTCATTTTAAGCTTGTAAATTGTGACGAAATATTACAAGGATCGATTTTAAGACAATAGAAAGTTATTCAGGTCCATTACCCATCCAGTAGAGTCACAAATACAGGGGGAGTATTGCGCTAGCTACTGCAATAAGTGCGTCAGTGAATCCATGGTTTCTACAGGACACCATACCAGCTAAGCTGCGATGAAAACTGTGTCCAAGTGAGGCTACAAACTCCTCCCTCGCCTATTCTATTCTTCAGACCTAGTCCCCAATAACTAAAACACTTCAGGGTCCGGAGGTAATTGTCTCTTTATCTTCTAACCGAAAGTGTTTCGGTTTCAACATACAGAAAATTGTTTCTTTCAGAAGACGATAAACAAATAATGATACACGCTGGGCATTTTCTAATAAATTTGAGTCACACCGGTCCCATAATTCATTAGCGTATTCTAACACTGGTAAAATGAGTTATTTATGTTTTCATTACAATATATCACATTTGAGCTTATATTTTAAATTTCTTAAAACTTTGATCTTTTCCATACCTGATGAATACGTATTCTGCTTGTGATCACTTCATGTGCCTTAGCATTAAATATGACGCCCATGTAGTGTAGTGTTACTAAAGTGATAGAACATGCCTGTTAGAAGTTTGATATGCAGAAAAGTATGGAATAAAACCATTTTAATCAAGCATCTGCCATACACTCTGGAATAAAATATCCTATTGTCATTCTATATCTCACGATAGTTTACCCATTGACACATAAGTCTACATATATATGCTACAACATCCATGGACATTTCGGAGAACGATGTTACCTTATCATAATAACAGAGGTACATGACAGAACAACAACAATGTTTGGTATTCTCTCGCAAATGGCGTATATACAAAAAAACCTTAAGCTCCAAAAAACTCGGTCTTACTCCCATTCAACTTCTTTATATCCCCTTAGTCCTTATTCAAGCTTCGGATGGATATATTTCAAATTGTATTTTGATGCTTGCCTTGTTTATTGATGCTACCAAACATTTTTGATTTGTTTAGAGCAAATCAAATAAAAAGAGGGGAAACTAGGGAATATATCCAAAAATGTTCGGATGAGTGCTTTGTTTAAATGATCGAATGGTATTTAAAACAACGTAAAATTTAATTCAATACTTTAATATATAAAACCACCTTTTTAATATCAATTTCACTATAAACACATGTTAGAGAATCGGGAGTTTCCCTCTGACACTCCTGTACATGGTTAGTGTCCATGACTTCGATACTGATGGAATTTGTCGATATCAGGTGTACCTGGCGGTATTTATGTATAACTTCTAACTTCCGGTTTAAAATTGAATAATGCAAATTGTGTAAACCTCAGAAAATACAACCGCATACAGTGTCTGAAGAGAAGACAAGATGTCTGATCCACTGAATGATATCCAAGCTGTCAAAAGTCGACATGGAAATCTCCGTGCGAAAATGGCAGCTCGCAGAAAACAGCGCGAAGGTTTGGAAGCAGAAATTACAAGCATTACTTCGCCACTGCAACCGGCGACCTCCTCGTCAACTCCAGGTACACTATCCTAATATATTTTAAACTGTATTTCAAAGTGCGACATGCCAATGTCAATATACTGGATAGAGAAATGTGTACGGTTGGTCTGGTTAATATCATACTTCTGGTATCTTTGCAAATGTTGACAGGGGAGATAACTCGCAAAAATATTGTTGTCTTGTGCACAGATGTTGGAGGAATTCCTACCATTTTAATTTGCACTGAAGAGTCTGAACAACTGCAGCATTTTATTGATATAATATTTATGAACAGACATAAGAACAAAAGATCAATTAAAATAGCATTCCCATACGAGTGTCTTTCTCCAAAACCCCAAATACAACTGGTGTTGGTAAGATTAATCTGCATGTGATTTGAAACCTGATACAATTTGGTGTTACAAGTTTCGAGTTTATTACAGCGTCATCCAAGCCTGAAATGAAGACATCCCTGATTACAGCTCAGTCCAGTGGTTTAAAAGCTCCAGAAAGTACTCCTGTCCCACAATTATTGAAACCTGACTCTGCTAGGGAATCTGAAACAACACAGAAAGCTGACCCTGAGATGGAGAAGCGTGTGCGAATGATGCTATGTGACATTAGTCTGGATATTCCATGTAACTCTGCAGTAATCGCTGAGCAAGTTTCCAACCTGATGGGCCGGGATATCCAGTTAGCAGTTATTGAAGATGTGCTTAAGAAATTTGCTTCACAACAGATGATCAGGTTATTTTTCACACCAAAAACCAATTAAACTCCAATTTACAATTCCCTTTCATCGTTTTTCAGTTTATTTATGTTTTTGGAACATTTTCTTCAGGTTTGTAATGTCAGTGAAATAAAAATTCTTTAAAACAACTAGTAGAAAATTTGAGTGAGATGTTTGCACAACCAGTCGAAGGAAATCTTCTACTGGTTGTATTATAAGAACCTTTATTTCACATAGTAGTTACAGCTAAACTATGTTATGGTGGTTCTTAAATGAATGTCAGAAACAGGAATAGGAATTTGTCCAGTTTGTTTTTAATCTATTTACAGTTTGTTAAATTTACCATTCAGAGTCAACATATTAAAATTGCAGCATGGTTTTTTATTGAAGATTGTTTTAATAAAATTGACTTGCTGTGATAGATTTTGAGATTTACTACATGGCTATGTAAAACCTTTAATATGTAGGTATTTAATAATTTTTTGAAGTGAAATGCAAAAATGTTGTCCACAATATGTAGGAAGACTTAGATACTTGAATAATTTATTTACTTACTTCAGGTTGATTAGAGGGGGCCCAGGGATCCTGGATTTCCTTTGTAACTAAACTTATCTTTACTTTAGATTGTGTACTTATTTCTCCCCCAGTTAGGGCTCCCCTTTTAAAAACATTTGTAATACTAATTTTATAACACGTACTCATGAATTCCTTGTTATTTTACAGTATCACCTCCATAGATCAGATTGGATCTGACCGGAGTAGACTTCTGGTTAACACATTAGATATTGCCAAGGTAATTTATACTTCTATGATAAACCTGTAAAAAGTGGATATTTATAATGAGTAATGAGACAAAGCAAGGTTTGTTTCAGTGTCCATATATCGCTATTTCTCAAAAAGTGCTTGACAAATACTTCCCAAATTTTGTTGTAATTCTATCCTTTTGCTCCTGTGAAATTAATGTGAATATCAGTTGATTTGCCATCTTTTGTGTTCAAGAGCGCTCTCTCTAAAATCTTATACAAAATCACCCTACCTATTTGTTTCAGATTTGATTTTAAAACTGGAGTGGTTAATCAAACATTTATGTTGTATATTTTTTAATCTGAATTTTAGTTGTCCGTAATAAAAGGTGAAGACTCTCAGCACAAGAAGCGGACTAGAGACAGGTAGGTACTACACCTGATTCCTGATATGACTTCCAACTAAATTAGATCTTTATTTAATTAGAGTAGTAATAGTGAACATAGTGAGATCTAAGGCTAGCAACTGCTTTATCAAGATAAAAATACATAATATATTCAGTTAGAGTTGGCCAACTTCAGTTGAAAAATAGTTAAAATAAGCAATACTCTTACTTTACATGGTACAGTACTCTGCTGATATACACATCTTTTATGAATTTGTTAATTTATTGAAGATTATTTATTTGGTGCCACAGATTTATCAGTCTCTTCATTTTTTAATTTTTCTAGTGATGGAGAAGAAGGCATAGAACCACCCTCTAAACATCCCAAACTTAAGGAAGTGAAGGAGGATACTAGTATAGAGGTAAGTGGTAGTTAAATACTCTTCTTGTAAATACCCAGTATTTTGAAAATTCAAGAGTGGAATGTTTTAACAGGTAAATAGACATAATATGCACTGGTCTCTAGCACTCGGTTTTGAAAAAAAATTGATGGGAATTGATCACCAGTTATACATCAATAGGAATTATCATTGACTGTACAAGTTCCTTACAACAAAAAAAATTGATGGGAATTGATCACCAGTTATACATCAATAGGAATTATCATGAAAAAAAACAAAAATTGATGGGAATTGATCATACATCAGTTATACATCCTTACATTGAGGAATTATCATTATACATCAATAGGAATTATCATTGACTGTACAAGTTCCTTACAACAAAACAAAGCTTCTTTGTTTGATTTGTTTGATGATTTCCACAGAAGTGTAAGTTGAAGTGTGAATTTTGATAGCCAAGGATGATGCATGCATTTCTAGGACTTACTTTCAATGTGACTTTGTACACATTAACTCTCATTATTGAGTATTGATTTTAATACTTCTTACCCACAGAGTCTACTGTCTATGCAGTCTGCAAAAGAGAAAGAAAACAAGAAATTAAATGAAGAAATCCTTGATCTTCTGACAAAGCCAACAGCTAAGGTAATATATGCAGACAACCTTCTCTCTAACTAAGCTGAAATGATATAAAATGATACTTAATACTATTTAAAGAGACAGGCTTAACACAGCTTCATGAAATGTAAGAATTTATTTTGTTATTCCCAGTGCAAAAACATAAACATTTCCAAAATATCTGTTGAAGAGTAAAATTATCTGTTTTCAGGAACAAAGTTTAGTGAAGCGTTTCAAATCTCAGGGTGGTAAGTATAATATACTGATTTTCCACAAATAGTCCCTGCTTTGTCCATCTGTCCGTCAGTCCATCCATTATAATTTTGTCTGGAGCATAACATAAAAAATTTAAGAGGTATCATCATCAAACTTGATAGGTAGATAGATCTCAACAAGGAGAAGTGAAGTGCACAAGAATCATAACTCATTTTTGCATAATTTAGGAGTTATTGCCCTTTGTTATTTTTCTTACTTATATTTTGCCTGGAGCATTACACTAAAACTATAAGAGGTATTAACATGAAACCTCATATGTAGATAGATCTCAACAAGAAGGAAGGTTAGTGCACAAGAATCATAATTCTCTTATTGCGCTTTGTTATTTTTCATACTTAAATTTTGTCCCAGTTGGGGAGCATAACTGGCCTCTAACAGCCCTTCTATTTTTTTCTTTTAGCAGAATTGCATCAATTATTATAATGATGCTTTATTTACATTTATTAATTTGAATATCAAGATACATGAAATGCATTTAAATATGTGGACCATTCAGAAATGACGATCAAACTTGTACATAGAAGCATTTGAAAGCTTTTATCCATACTCTCCACTTGTCAACATAAATCATTATGTCTGGAAATGCTTTAGTATTTAATAATGTGTAATGTTTTACAGAAGAACGATTAAATTTAATTGTTTAATTTTTTACACTTATATATATATCTATAGTTTGAAAAATTCATTATGTCACACTTTATAGGTGCACAGTTGAAGGAGTTTTGTCAATATGGTACTCGAGAGGAATGCAAGAAACTTGGTGAAACCAAAGAACAGTGTAGAAAATTACACTTCAGGAAAATCATCCACAAACACACAGATGGTAATTATTTTCTATCAATTAAAATCTACTCTTAATTAAGTGAATATTTTGATTTAATGACTTTATTTTACTTTTTTTTGTCTTTTAAGTTTATTTTGATTGTTTTATGGCTTTAAGCAAATGTATCATTAAGAATATATGACTATAAACTCATGTTTGATAATAAGCGGTAGCTCTTCCATTCTGTTAAGATATCAACAAATACTGTTTCATTGTCCTCCCATAGCTGACTAGGAGTTAGAGAGAATGTGTGTATTTCATGCCCTGTATAACATGCAATGCGTAATTTCCACAGATACATTATCTAGTACAGATATTGTTGGTTAAGAATTCTCTGTAAAATGTTGTTGATTAAACCCTAATTTACCTTCAGATTCTTTAGTGATAACTGCAATTAAGTTTATATGCCTTATATATTTCCAAAATATTAGTTAATTTAACAAAATATAAATGAGAGCTACAAATGACAAGGAAAATCCACCAGCTGTTTATATGTAAATGTTATACATTTTGCGAATTTATCAACTGAAATACATTTTTCATTGATTTGTAGAAACCTTGGGTGATTGTTCTTTTCTGAACACATGTTTTCACATGGATACTTGTAAGGTAAGGTGTAATACATCTTAGATTTAGACAATCTATTCAATTTTATGTAAATAATTTGTTGCCTGTTTGAAACATTGATTTTAAGTGACATTCTGTCTAAGTTTGGTTTGGTGTGGTAGTTCAATCTGATTTCACTGAGCTGTGTTACAAAATTATTTCCTACCTCTATCAAAGCTGTATACGATAACTAGGAGTTGGTAGAACTCATTCTACAATATAGTGTACATTGGTACTTCAGTATGTCCATTACGAGATTGACTACCCAGCCGTCAGTACAACTGACGCCATGAAAAAAGAAGCTCTAGCCATGGCAAAGAAAGGATTGGAATCTGGTGATGTGCTGTATCCTCCTCAGGTAAATTCATCAATCCTTCTCAACCTTTCCCTAAAATGCAAAACTAAGCCAGGACTCTTACAGTCTACCTGTTTCAACTCACATATTATTCCTTCTCCTTGTCCTCTTCTTCCATTTTTCACTTCGACTTTAGCCCTCCAGTTAGCCTCCAATTTATTTCCTCTTTTTCCCTCTCCTCTCTTCTTTTATATAATTATCCATTCTGCCATTTCCTATCTCCCCTTTTCCCTTTCCTCCCCTACTCTCCCCTCCCCTACTCTCCCCTCCCCTACTCTCCCTTCCTCTATTTACCTTCATTCCTTTTTTCGTCTTGTTCCCTCATTAATCCCCTACTTCTATCTCTTAAAGTTTTTTTCTGCTACATTCTTCCTCCACATTATTCAATATCACTTCTATAAAAGTGAAATAAACATACAAAAAGGTTTTTTTTTTTTGTGATTTCCCGACAGTGGGTTCAGTGTGACCTGCGATTCTTTGATATGACCGTCCTTGGAAAGTGTGCAGTTGTGATGGCTGATCCACCCTGGGACATCCACATGGAGCTTCCATACGGGACCATGTCTGATGATGAGATGAGGAAATTGGATGTCCCTAGTCTCCAGGACGATGGATTTATCTTCCTCTGGGTTACTGGGAGGTTTGTGGAGTTTTTGTCTATTGACATGAAGGAGAGAAATTTTAAGATGTCTTCAGTGAACTTTGCAGATGTAATATCTGGCACATATTTTTAGATTTTTCTCTGTTCAAATTCAAGAATATAAATGTCATATCTTACAAAACCAAGGAAAATCATAAAAAGTTAACATTTGTCACTTTTTTCAGTATAGACCAGTGAAAGTAAAATTACTCAAATTCATGTTAATAAATTTCAAATTCATACTGACTTAGATATTCTGTTTCTATTCTTCATAGAGCTATGGAGCTTGGTCGGGAATGCCTCGACTTATGGGGGTGAGTACAAACCAAATCTGAATAAGCAGCTTAGATGGTTTGACTGTTGTCAAGAGATAAGAATTCAGCCTTTATCATAGTAGAAAGTAAGGTTAAGAAATATACTGCTCTTGAGTGATTAGTGACTTTTTTTGCGTTTAGAAAAAAATTGACATATTTTCAAAATAGATGCATTTTCAGGTTGACAATTTGGTCCTACATATTTCATATTGTCAGAACTGACTTTTGTTATGCTAGTCACATTAAAGGTAGTGTGTATCCTTAATATACATTTATATTGTATTTCCTTAGGTACAAACGGGTCGATGAGGTGATTTGGGTGAAAACGAATCAGCTCCAGAGAATTATTCGGACGGGACGTACTGGTCACTGGCTCAATCATGGCAAGGAACACTGTCTGGTCAGTACAACTCAAGGTCAAAGTGATGAACACTTTGTCCTTGTTCTTTCTATCTTTAACAAGTTTTGTTATCATATTTTCTTGCTATGTACTAGGGTATTTTATCAAATGTCAGTTTTGTAGTTTTGAGTCCTTTTTCTGATCTGATCTAATCCACTGACTTTAAGAGGACAATAACAACCTATGAATTATATCACTAAGATAAGGCTATAGCTCAGTCAGGTTAAACATAGGCCTACATAACCCCAGGTGAAGACTTGTGGTATGTGGTACGAGGCTTCCTACCTCTGGCAATGTGTGTTTCTCAGGAAGCTGGGAAACGGACAAGTCTTTGCTGATGTGGTTGTGACCTTGGGCAAGACACACAACCCTATTTGTGATGGATGTTGTTCAGTGCGGTAGCCACTGGCTATTATACGGAGACCTTGCCTGAAAATGACCTTGGCTGTTAACAAGGGGATAAAACTAGCAAAAATCAATCAACACTGTTTATTCACCTTTTAAGTTATTGTTTAAAAATTAATGTGATAGAAAAGATCAAAGATACCTTCAAATTATGGAGGGCTGATCAGGATAGGTACCAGGATTCCACTGTATCTGTAAATCATTATGTTTCAATACTTTCAGGTTGGTGTGAAGGGAAATCCCCAGGGAGCTAACAGAGGACTTGATTGTGATGTTATCGTGGCAGAGGTAATCATAAGTAAATAGTATAAACAGTATCGTTAGTAATCTAATGAAGATTTGTTAGTTCTTGTCTGTGATTGAAAAGAAAAGTGTTTCAGATATGATCTGATACATATTTACCTTAACTGATGTAAAATACAATATGACGAGATAAAGTGATGAACTTCATTGATCATTCTGACTTTACCAAATTTTGGACCAATTTAAAAATGTTATGGCAAAATACATAGAAATTGGAAACAGATTATAGAACATTTTTTGAAATAAAGGGAAATATAGACCACATGTCCCTTTCCAGAAATATTGCCAGAAATTCATTTGAGTTTAATAATGAACTTTCTTTGTGTTGACCTGTAGGTGCGTGCAACCAGTCACAAACCAGATGAGATTTACGGTATTATTGAGAGACTATCTCCAGGGACTAGAAAGGTAGAACTGTTTGGACGACCACATAATGTACAGCCAAACTGGTGAGCAACATTGTTCTTACAGTATTAAGGGGTCTTGTTAGTGGAAGTTGAAATGGGCAAACCTATTCTTTTGTCTGATAACTTTAATACCTATATCAGATATGATTTTCTAGTTTTACTTATATTTAAATTTTATGTTTTGCAAGTCCTACAGGGACTTGGATTAAAGTAAAATTAGTGTGCTTATCTTCTTATTTCTCAATATCATGAATGTAGTTAAAGAACAGGGATTTTCAAATATCTCGAGGACTATGTTCTTTGGTAAAGAGCCAGCCCCAAGCAATATTAACCTGAACTCTTAACACAAGTTACAGTGATAATGGGTAACGTAGTAGAATGTCTTATATACATTAAGCAGATGCTTTTTACCAAACCAACCATACAATAAACTTTGTATGTTTCCTGTACTTGTATTTATGATAAGTATATATTATCTTTCAGGATAACCCTGGGCAATCAGGTGGAGGGTGTGAGACTAAAAGATCCTGATGTTGTCAAATTGTTCCGCAACAGGTATCCTGACGGTAACTGTCTGACCCCAAAAAGCAAATGAGAACTTTCAGTTAAGTTCCTGAAGGATTCAAGTATTATTGCCCAAAACTTGCAAAAGGCAGATGAGAAGGTCTGCAAGGCTACAAGGGAATATGTAACATTGTAACTATTGGAGGTTCTGGTTAACCCCATGCAAGTGAAAGCCTTGTAAAATATCTTCTATAAAAGTTCTGAAGAAAAAATCAACATATTGTCTGGAGCAAAATGAAATCTTGTGAAAGACCAGACAGAACTCGCAGGATGTTATCCTAAACAAGTGAGAATTTTCTTTGGAAGTTCCGGATTATGTCAAAAGTTAGGTGAGAATGAATTATCAGTTTTCTGAAAGAATCTTTAAAAACAAATCAGTTTGGTCACTGCATTGGATGTGGTGAGTGATGAGAATCAGTCTGTTATACGTTGAATGTACAGTCGTAAATGTATGGTACGAGATCTGAAATATGTTTTCAGGTCAGAATTGACTGGAATTTCTTCATGATTCACCATTTTGTTACTGGGCAACTGAAATGGTGTCTGGGTGAACTTCAGTCCGATATTAATCGTACTTTATTAGTATTCATGGTCACTGTCCAAGATCGTGTTTTAAAACCTTTTACTGATTGTAAGGTTAATGCGATAAAGCATACACATCTGAACTGTAAGTCTTTGTTTTTCTTTTTAACACTCAGAAATTTGAAGGTTAGCTTTTGTATGGTTTTCATGCGAAGTAGAACATATCATATTATGATTTTCCATTTCCATTTGAATCCGTGTCCTACATACCAAAAGCCAAATGTAAGTCCTTATTATACAGTACATATACCATTGTTAGTCTAGTTCCATGTTTGTCAAGTAGAAAAGTATCTTATTACACTTATATTTGACATCCATGGCTTTGAACATTTCTCTCCTTGCAGTTGTGGTTACTCTCAGGATAATTATAACCCTAAAATGAAAAGCATCTGGGTTGGCGTTTTACCGAGTTAGCAAGCCTTCACCTATGGTGACTCATGATTGCTTCATGTCATATGTTGTTGGGACCCATCTTTAATATACTATTGACATGTGTTGTTTGTCATGAAGTATGCCATTTATAGATCTATGTCACTAGGCCTGTTGCTGCTACTACATGTAAGTCATAAGGAGTAATACTGCGTCTTTCAATCACTGGTTTGTGCAGAATATCAAAAGTACTGACTGATGGCCTTCCTGAACGTGATCTTCTAATCTTTCTCCACTGTGACAAGGATGTATATTAGGGACAGTGCATTTTACCATGCTACAGGAAAAATGGGAGACTTGTTTTTTTTAAAATTCAGTAGTTTATAGGTTTTGAAGGGAACTGCCATGTTAAGAATTGGTGCGTTTTACTGGTATTTTAGAGCTGTAAAAACATACTATTTATATTATCACAGTTCGGGGAAAGGATTGTAAATTTATAATATGTTAAAAATTCGTTTAGATATTTCATCTGGTCTTAGAAACACAAACAAATTGAAACGAAAATTACTATAATTACACTAAATCTGAAAAACCCTACAAATATAGATACAGGTGAAACCTAATCAGTGAATCCAATTAATATGTTCTTTAAAGTGGTTGTGGCTGTTGGGACATCAGTAAAGTGTGAATTAATACACAAGACACTTTATCCCATTGTGTTATACCCACTTTGTATCTCATGTCAAAAGAATACTTGATCCGTGTTTTGTAAGATCATGTTGCTGATGTTTTGTTAGCGTGTGTTGATGTGTGACTGAAATTGAATGAGATTCAATAAAATAAAAATATACATATGTAAATTATTTTTGTCGTTTATACAGTACTTGTTATAATGGGTTCTGAGTTTTATACAACACTTGTTCTGTCGAGATCTGAGTGTTAATAGCACCTGTTCTGATGAGATCTATTCATAGTGTAAACACGGAATCCGGTAATGTATGAGTATGACCCTGAGCTTTCAAAGACTAGGATATTTTGTATTTATAAATCAGAATTAGTTTTCCCCAAAGAAGTTTGTAAATGTTACTATGACGACTAAAAACAAAAAAATGAACAAAGCTTGAACATTATTTTGTAACAAACACACGAGGGATTCCTCCATCTGGAGGAGTAGATGATAACTTAATTTAAACACAAATTTGATGAACCTATGACAAAAATAAGAATAAAAGAAAGATTTACACGGAGACTCCAGAAAAAGTATAAGGAGAAAAGACCAGGTGTTCCAGAAAGATAAACGTCTTCGTCTTCATTGACGGCATCCGCCGTGTAAATTTTGGTCAATCATTGCAAATTCCCAACGAAGAACAGGGTAAACAATGCATTGAAACTACCTGGCATACAAATGAGCATCTTACACGTTCAGACTCATACTGTACAAAGAAATGGAAGACCCAGTTCTAATCAGTATGCTGTGGAAAGCCGTTGCCAGTTCTGTAGTTAATCGACACTAAAAAGTTCATGGGCTTTCAAAGCAAATTGACACTCGGATTGTATCACTCTAACCTGCCTCAATAAATCTACAGTTGTGATATGAACAAGGATGATCGCAATGTTCTCTGGTTTATATCTGAAAATTTTCATTACCTTGTCATAATTTAACCAGGACGTATAATGCAGAGTCTGGAAAGAAGGCCCAGTGGAGGCTGACGTATCTGGCGCTTTGTGTTTGTTCAATGTATCACGAAGTCTTCGATTTCCCCGCCCATTACATTTATTACATAATCTTATCTACCTGTGGCCCATTCACTTCAAGGCTGTAGAGCTCTATTTTGTGTGCTAGCGAGAAGAGAACTTCATTTTCGTCACCAAAAAATATGGATAAGTTGAAAAACGATATGTAATTTATCATAATAAGTATCCTTGTATCCACAGCCTATGATGTTAACATGCCAGACGATTCGATATCCAAGGGCCTTTTACATTCGTTAAATTCGTTTAACGTTCATCGTATATATCTACCAGGATTGGAAATCAAAAACACGACAGGCTCTCCTACAAAAGACACACAAATGAATAGCACCTGTTAAATTTGTTTGTCCTTCTAGTGGATATATGTAGATATGTATTATTTTTCTGCGAAGGAAGATTTAGTGTATTGAAACGTATTAAAAGCAATATGGACATGTGGGATGGGCGTCCACTGTCTTTTCTGCTTTGACGATGATGTCCACTATTAAGTACCACATTCCTACTACTCTCAACACCGCTTCCCAAATAACACGAGATGTTGTCACTACACTGACAAAGCGAATCGCATGCTGCATTCTTTCGGCTACCAATGATTGATCACCAAGCATTTGAAAATATATCACTTTCACGAGAAAATGGTGCCAAAACGCAGCAGGCGTAACTTAAAAAAAAAGAATTTGAGCCACAAATATTTTAACGTCATTTGAAACAATATTTTATTGGTAATAATTCCTTGCTAGAAAAAAGAACATACATACCAAATAAGAAGGAATCAGAAACGGAAATGAAAAGTTGTATATGTAGTATGTTGTATATCTTGTATCATCAATTTGTTCTAAAACTCGTTTCTGAACAATAAAATATCAACAACCTCAACTATAATGTTTATGACCTGATTACCATAATCGACAATGTCATGAGCACGTCTTTTTGTAATCTTTTACATCCAATGGAGGGAAGATATATTCTTATAAAATCGAATGTCCAGTTCTCACCGGGAACTCTGGCTAACAAAGATTTTCTCCACTAAAACGAAAGTAGTCTAAGCATGTAGATATTTATCACAAAGTTGTATTTTAAAACACCAATCGAATATTTGTCCTCCAATATCTGATATTTGTAAAATTTTCTCCACACAATGAGTTGTTTTAAACCGTCTGACAACACTCCCTCGGTGGTTTGCCTCGCTGTCGTGGTTGATACCTCGTGATTTCTACAGTGCTGTTGTACAGAGATTCGTAAAACAATGGCGTCTTGTAAGCACCCATAAGCTTTGTAGCAATGATAGTTAAAGCGTTGTCTATTCCCTCGCCTGTAAAAATAACATTTAAGGTATGGTCAATAGACGTTTAAAAATAAGAATAATTACAGTTTGCTGGTTTTATTTATAAACACAAGGAACAGCGTCATCGACCTTCGATTGCTGAAACATTATGTCAAAGTGACCTCATCAATAAGTCTACCTCAAAATTAGTCTGACAAATAGATATATACCGGTCTTTTTCCGCGATCATTTATAACAATGAATTGATTTGGTTATGGTGTAAACATATTTAAATTTTATAAACTCACACAGAAAAAATAGAACAAAAAGCCAAAGTGGGTGGCTAAGTGAAAGAGTTTGTAATGACACGGACACATATATAAATACTCACAGTTTGCAACAAGTAATCGAATACAAGAGGCAATTATGGGAGCTTGCCGCATCACATAAGGTTTATGGATATTAGAATCTATCATTGAACATTCCTATTTGAACTTATGTATTATTGAGTAAGAAGTACTAGATAATTAGAACTCTCGTAACCATAGCGAAGTGTACTGAGTTAACGGATCTACATTTAGTTGTCACGAAAATTGATGACAAACATTTTCTTTCGAAGGTCTAAATGGACAGTTAAGCGAACTAGAAATATATCATCCAATGAGGAACTATATCAGTTTCATGAGTATAGTCAGTAGAATATTAGATTTTCAAATGCTCACAAGGTAGCGATATTTACATTCACACTTTGTAAAATTCGAACATTGCCTATTATGATTTATGATTAAGTGTCGGCTTGGTATTAGTTTCGGAATCATTACATAACCTCGTAGACGGTATACAGGACTTGATAGTATATTGTAGTCCATAAATCAGATGTGGTCTTCAGGATTAAATTAGAAGTAGATTGAAGGATACTTAGGGTGGAAGAATGTTACGTAAATAAGAAAGGCCATGTAATCGGTTTTTTTTTTTTTTTTTTGTTATAAAAATATACCTTTAATCCAACTTTATGTTTCAAATCCAGCTTCAAAGCAAAGAGAGTCTCAACTTGCATATAATGTTTAATCCGGAACATTCTTGGAAGTTTCAAATTTTAATTTCTTAAATGTATCAGTATCATGCGGTGGACAACCACTCCACAACCATACTGAACTAAGAGTACAGTGCAGTCAACATTTGAGGGCATAAAGTATTCTAAAAGGTGTAAGGCTCGATTTATTTCCTGGTAGTTTGCACCCGATGTGATTCCCGGGTGATAAGGTTTCAATAAAGTTTACATCTTCGTTATTAAGATTCGGATTCTGAATGATAATGAATTCTTTATATTTTATGGACGGAAATGTATGACAGAAACGTGGGTATTACATTGACACTAACTAACTGATTTTATTCTTCTGGTCAAAGTCACAGTCCTCGGCTGCTTATTTCATTGTTCAACATTACCTGTTAGTGCGGAAACCGGAAGTACGCATTCGCAATTGTGTGCATAGCGGAAGTTCTCGGTGCTGTCCGTTATTACATTTCTTTCCAGATCCGATTTGTTCCCCATTATAAATCTCAAGGCTGTAGACATTAAAAAAAGATCCATCTAGTAGATTTCCAACAGTAACAATCTCTTGATTTCATTTAACTTTTTGTGTTTTCGTATTATATCATTGTTAACTGAAAACAATGGTTGTTATATGCACGTAAGATATTTGTTTTCTTCGACAAATAAATTTGCATTTGTAATCAACACGATGGGCAATTGTTCATTTTTTCAGGATGATTCATAAATGCTGATTTGATATCAGAAGTATACACAAGAACATCATTAACATACAATTAAGATCTAATTCATAGTTTTTACCTCAAGTCAGTTGATAATTGGTTATGATATCTCACCATTTGGAGCGAAATCAAGAGCGTCATTGGCCCATTTTGAGAGATATTGGAGCGAGGCTGGATTGTTAACGTCATACACGAGCACGGCAGCATGCGTGTTGCGGTAGTAGTTCCTGGTCATCGTTTTGAACTTTTCCACACCTGCAGTGTCCCAGAGAACCAGCTGATGGAGACAAATGTGCCATGTTATTTCCAAATCTAGACTTACTATAATATGTTGCCACATGATGGAGATAGATGTGGTATGTTATTTCCTAATCTAGACCTGCTGTAGGCCTGTTGTCTAGATGATGGAGACAGATGTGGTATGTCATTCCGAATCTAGACCTGCTGTAGGTCTGTTTTCTAGATGATGGAGACTGATGTGGTATGTCATTCCGAATCTAGACCTGCTGTAGGCCTGTTGTCTAGATGATGGAGACAGATGTGGTATGTCATTCCGAATCTAGACCTGCTGTAGGCCTGTTGTCTAGATGATGGAGACTGATGTGGTATGTCATTCCGAATCTAGACCTGCTGTAGGCCTGTTGTCTAGATGATGGAGACAGATGTGGTATGTCATTCCGAATCTAGACCTGCTGTAGGTCTGTTTTCTAGATGATGGAGACAGATGTGGTATGTCATTCCGAATCTAGACCTGCTGTAGGCCTGTTGTCTAGATGATGGAGACAGATGTGGTATGTCATTCCGAATCTAGACCTGCTGTAGGTCTGTTTTCTAGATGATGTAGACTGATGTGGTATGTCATTCCGAATCTAGACCTGCTGTAGGCCTGTTTTCTAGATGATGGAGACAGATGTGGTGTGTTACTTCCTAATTTAGACCTGCTGTAGGTCTGTTGTCTAGATGATGGAGACAGATGTGGTGTGTTATTTCCTAATTTAGACCTGCTGTAGGTCTGTAGTCTAGATGATGGAGACAGATGTGGTGTGTTATTTCCTAATTTAGACCTGCTGTAGGTCCTTGTCTAGATGATGGAGACAGATGTTGTGTGTTATTTCCTAATTTAGACCTGCTGTAGGTCTGTAGTCTAGATGATGGAGACAGATGTGGTGTGTTATTTCCTAATTTAGACCTGCTGTAGGTCCTTGTCTAGATGATGGAGACAGATGTGGTGTGTTATTTAATGATTTAGACCTGCTGTAGATCTGTTGTCTAGATGATGGAGACAGATGTGGTGTGTTATTTCCTAATTTAGACCTGCTGTAGGTCCTTGTCTAAATGATGGAGACAGATGTGGTATGTCATTCCGAATCTAGACCTGCTGTAGGTCTGTTTTCTAGATGATGGAGACAGATGTGGTATGTCATTCCGAATCTAGACCTGCTGTAGGTCTGTTTTCTAGATGATGGAGACAGATGTGGTATGTCATTCCGAATCTAGACCTGCTGTAGATCTGTTGTCTAGATGATGGAGACAAATGTGGTATGTTATTTCCTAATCTTTGGCTATACGAGGATGCACTACCGACGTAAGCGAAGAAACTGGTACTTCATTTGTCATACTGTTTAACACTGTCATGTAATTGGCACGGAAATACGAAGAACCATTAGTTCCTAATATCGTGAATGAACTTATTTATCAGTCCACAACAAAACCTTATAAAGGGTATCTAAAAGTTTTCACGTGGTTCTTACTTCAAATTTGAAAGACACATCAGTCGTTTAAATTGCATTTTTTCTTATAGCTCATAGTTAGAGAAAATAATCTTTAGACGTCACTTTGATAAAGATAATAACCGTTTTATACCAAAGCGGCGAGGAATAGCATTTTGTATGGCATGCATTAAAGTGCATTGGTTAATTGAGGTCCCATATTCGTTCCCTAGTGAGTCTTTAAAGGACATCTTCAATTTCATGGTATCGACAAATAACTATGGTACACATAGAGTTTTTTTTTCTAAGCATGAGAGTCTTATTTCTATCATCGCTTCATTTCATCATCTTATGTGTATCATTTTAAATGGTCATTTCATACACAGAGATGTTATAACTTATTCATTTAACATTTTTGGCATGACAGTAGATGTGTCAGGGTAGACACTACGGTAAGAAGCGGGAGGAGGGGGTTGATATAAGACTGAGGTAGAAGATTATCGAGACAAAGTTACCGTTACTTACCGCGACCTTTTCGTCCTCGACGTACAACGTCTTCACGCAGCTTTCAATGCCAACTGTCGGCTGCAGCCCCTGGATGAACGTATTGTCCTTTACCCTAAGAAACAGTGAAGATTTGCCGACGCCCACCTCCCCTAGAAGTATCACTTTAAAGAGAGGGCGGCGCCAGTCTATATCGTCTACCGGCATATTTTAACTTCAATTCGGTGGCATCAAGACAGCTTCAAATATATAAAACTCATTCCGTTTCCATTTTCAATTTGTTCTCATTAATGGTTGCTTTGATTAAGATAATTTTACAAATGTTGCTAGGTTATTGTCTAGTAGTGGAATGACGTAGAGTCTCAATCAAGGAAAGGCACTACTTCTCAAATGCTAGAGAACTATGTTACCATTCCGGTTGAAATAAATGGTCGTTGGAAAATAGAATAATCAAAGTTTTGGATTAGTAAAAAAGTAGTTTTCACGGGAAAAACTCCAGGATTCTGGTTCTCATATCATCCTTCGACAATGTTACTAGCACTGATCGCTTTAACGACTTGCAGACACGTGACGTTAGCAGGAACGGGGTCAAACAAGTGATAATCAAATGTTTGGGACAAATAACGTTGGCATTCCAGGAAGAATTATTTTCCTTCTTCTGACGACCTTATAGGATTATACCGTTCACAACTTAGACAATCGCTGCTTTCGTCGTAAATATCCACAGAAGTTGGATAATAAAATCTCTGTGTAAACAATGGACGACGACAGGAGTCATTTCTACCGTTATATACTATGAACAGTACTACCTCGTGAGCTGTACTGGTGTAAACGATAGATAACCTGACTGGAACAGGGAGATAAAAACAGCCGGGAAAGTCTACAACATCCTCAAAACAAACCACGTCCAGGACATTTACCAGTACTCCTGTCGCTGCAAAAGTTTGATCCGAACATTTTTGTATTAAAGCAACAACATCGGTAATGTTCTGATTACTTGGCAAAAACGTACGCTTCACATAGATTTCACAATTCTACAAATATACACGTTTTTAAGATTAGTGATAGGACTCACCTTTATAGATGTTGATTTCCCACTATAATTTTCACAGGAGATGATAGTTGGAGAAGATAACTGAGTTTTACATACTGATACTGGGCTTTGTCAATATGGATTGAGTAATGTCTGTTTATGGAGCGTGTGTGACTTTTATCAGTGGTAGCACCCAACGAACCTAGATATCACGTGTATATAAATTAACAGATTACTACACAGGTTTAAAAGCAGTTTTAAAGCAAAATTCTGAACCCAGATTTATAGCACTACGGAATAGTGTTTTTATGACAGAGAATTGAACAAAGTTAATACTTCTTCATACAACTTTAGAATTAGATGATAAAGTGAAACCCCTCGAACAAACAATGTTCCAGGACTCGTTAGTGATGTTAGGAGCTTAAAATGTGGAAATATGAAAGACGTGTCGGAGACACCAGAACCGGCACAAACAAATGTGAAAAATAGAGGGCGTGGAGACACTCCACACTTCAATAAATCTGGTTAATTTTCAAAACTTTTGAAAACTTAATCTGCATTTGAATCTATGTGGATACAGCTAAATAAAAAAAGTGTTAAAGTTGCGTGACTTACTTCTTTATGTTACGTGTTATACCCGTCTCTAGAAATAGGGGATTTTGTCTATATAATTGAACCTTCATAATAAATGGATAACTTTTAAAATATCATATTGAATGTGAGAATGAGATAGTAAATTTAATGTAATTTGCTAGTATCGATACAGAAATTATCGACCATGGTAACCTCTATACAACCATCGAAATTACAACTATCGTGAATTCCCAACACTTGTGTTTGGTCATATCAATATCATATCATTCTAACTTTCATAGAGTTTCTCTAACAATCAGTGACTACTATACAAATAAAGAAAACAACGAGAAATATTTCTCACTCTTACGACCGTAAAATTTTCATTTACCAACATCATTTGAATCCCTTTGCTGCGAATTTTTCCGTAAGTAGACGACGTATTCCAAGAAACTCGGAAATGTAAACACCCTATTTTTGTGAAGCAGCGAAGTGCTATCCAGAAATCAAAAATTCACAGTAGGGAAAATGAAATCACCACGCTTATCGTGCTATCATACAGTTTGGTGGAAAGCTGTCTATGTTTGTTTCGTTATAAGAAACATTCCAGATATGTGGCTGATGTAGAATACTCTGTCGTTTCTTTGATTTCCAATTCTGGTAGTTATATTCGATGAAAGTGTTCAATAAATTTCTCGTTATCTATAGACAAGACGTCACCAAGTTATCTGATAGTGAAATTCAACGACTGTAACAATATTTATCTCATTTAATAAATTCTTTATTCCTTCTAAGCATACCATTATTCGTAATATAAACCATCAAATTTCTTACACTCGCATTAATAATACATAAGTCATCTTGTATACACAATACATACACAATTATCAGCGCGAACAATGCATGTACATACAACATCAAAAAAGGAACACATGAAATAAACTACCTCAGATACACCACTTTTTACAATAACAGATGTTACATCATTGAACTACATACAGAGGAAATGATTATAAAAATTGAAAACATACACAAAGGGAATGTAAATAAGGAATATATTTATGATTTTCAAGAAAAGAAGTAGAAATACTTAAAGATTGATTAAGTTACACATATCGCATATAAAACAAAGTACTCAGACACACAATTAAAACGACACGACATACAAATAACAGTAAATACATTAGCGTATTTGTTGTATAAATGATAGTATGACTCGCTAAAGTTGAAAATTCTGCAACATGACACTTAAAACTTAAAGTGAACTTAATCATAGATATAGAAACAAACGGAGAGAGATCGAACTTTGTACAGAGTAACAGTATGTTAGCTGTACTGACTATCGTTTGGTAGGTTGCTGATCACCTGGTTGATGTCAAAACTGGGTAAGACACCTAACACTAACAAACAATGGCAATCTTTGTCAACATGTTCAGCTTCATAAACTGTGCTAAACATGTTGTTCACAAGTAAATATTCCGCAGCAAACCTCATTATACCGTCAGTATCTGAAAATAGTGCCAGGAAAATGTCATTATTTGTGTTTTGTTTGTATCCCTTACCTTGTTCAACGCGGTTATAGGTTAACCATCGTAAGCAATGCTGAAGAACATTAGATATTAATCACGTTATTCACAGACACCAAGCACAGTTTCTAAATCGGAACCATTCAACCTTGCATCCATATGTGAAGCGGCCTTCTATGAAACAACGATTTCTTTCTTTCCGCGTTTAAAGAGTATTTTTGGCCATTCAAATTCAATCATATACATATGATATTAAAATAATTTACGTGTGTTTCCACGTATAAAGAGTTTTTTGGCCATTAACTACGAACATTTATACATATACATATGAATTTAAAATAATTTACGTGTGTTTCCACGTATAAAGAGTATTTTTCGGTCATTCACTACGAAAATTAAAATAATTTACGAGTGTGTCTGATGATGTATAAATTTACACAATTATATGTCTATTAAGTACGAAATGGTACCGCTTAATGGAATGATACAATGTACATATATCTTAAACAATGGTCGAATTAAAGTGTGTGGAATTATACATTTTATAAATCGGTAAAATAAAGCCATCAAAATACATATCTATATATTTATAAATGTGTAAATTACATATATATTATACTTTATGTGGATGTGTCTATCAGTATCATATTTATCAGAGTAAACTATGTATAAATAATTTGATACGCAACGACATTGGACTAATGGTTACAAAACTTCTACATCCAAGTCATTTGTCTCTCACAACTTGAGATCATCGACTATAGTCAAAGTTAACATGTACAGTTATACAAACACTGAGGTACTCATTAACACAATGTTTTCCTTAACATAGTGACCAAAGGGAACGAAGAAAATGTCAAATGTACATTCAGGCAAAAAGAATGAGGAAGTTGAAATAACAAAAATGAAAACCGGAGATGTAACTGGAGTTAGCAAAAATTAATACTGTCAGCGATATATACAACTGTACAGTCTTCAAAATGGTGGCAATCTGATATTTGCGTATAAAACAGTATGTGGAATTATTCGGTGTGGGCAGTAAAGAATCAAGTAAGTCGATTACATGAAAATAAACACAATAATAAATATGCCTCAATATTTCTTTTCGAAAACGATAATTCAGGGCTGTACATGACGTCAAACAGGTATATCATATCAACACGTTTAAAAATACTTAAACTCAACAAACTACAAAATAAGGATAGAAAAGAATAGCATTTCATGAGCACAGTCCGCATGTTCTGAGTATTTGTCTAAATGTACAAAAACGTATTATAGCTTGTAACACCTAACAAAGTCACTGAGTGTGAATTGATAACGCTGTTTTGGCACTCTTTATTGTGAGATATCACAGTACAACCCTGGTTAAACATTAAACAAACCTATTTTTCACATTCAACTACGAGAAAATTTATCGCATATCCTGATGTATTGCATATAACGGAGAGCAAATAAAGTATCGGTGTTCTTTCCCCGACACAAGGCACTAGAGGATATCGATCTTAAACGATTTAAATTATCACAAACGTTGCCTGTCCTTTGACAACTCATAGAGAGTAGAGCACGTTCCCGACATTGGCAAGGATATAAAAGCTATAATTGGTGTACTGTTTGTACTCCTACTATAATCCTACTGAAAGTCGTAGGTATATCTGATAACAGATTGACATCACTTTAACATCTGTATCAGTGCTGATTTAAAACTACTTGAAACAATAATTCTGGAGTCTTCTGCCATTAAGTCGTCTTCTTATAGCACCTTAAGTTTACGTAAAAAATAGCATAATGTAATCATTATAAATAAATCCCTGTATATCAGGACATTGTTGCACTGTGCAATTTTTGCGAAAATCTCCAAAATATACATTTATAATTTATGTGTCTTTCACTTTTTCAGTTTCATCGCCTCAGAAGTTTTGAAAGGTCTCTTTAGAATGCTATGAATACTTTAGAATGGACATAGCTTACATATCTATTATCAGCTGGAGGTCTGCCTGACCAGTCACACTTAATTAGAGATTTACATCCCATCTAGCGTTTATTTTCCACAGAAGTATAATCACAAGTAGAAACGTCAACACGTTTACAATAAAAATGAGACATGCAAATTCCGCATTTTTAATGTTTTGCTAGATTCGCAAAAATTTGGTACGTGCGAAAAAATCAAGTATCACAAAAACACGTTATATAACGGAACATGTCACTATACTACACAGGATGGCATATAAAGGCATCTCGCTAGCAAACACTTGTTGAGTGTTAAGTTAACGTACCGCGCTAAATATATCGCAAATCAATTTTCAGCGCAGCTTAAGGCAGATCCTAAGATTTAGCACTATTAATCCCTTCACACTTAAGTATTCATTTTACGTTTTCCTAGTGAGCTTTCAGTTATGAGTGTTCTCAAGGCAGGAAGTGGCCTTAGTGGATTAATCGCTTTGTCAATAGCAGGGGGTGTATCAACAAGTTGGTCATATTATCAAATCCTCATCTTCGTCGCTGTCGAGCAAGCGTGCGTGAACAGGTTTTGGATTGGAGCTACAATTTTTGAAACAAACTGGTTTCTTTTTCTTCTTCCATAAACAACAGCAGTATATGCACGTAGAAATGACAATCAGGATTATCACTGCACTCACAATTATTACCGTGATATAATAAAATGGAAACGGACACTTGCATGAATTATGTGCTTCCGAAGTGTAACAGTTCAGGTTCGGTACGTTAGGTCCGTGATGGGACTGGACAACCCATACACTGTCCAGTGGCTGTCCATCCTTGACCTTCACTTGCTCGAAATAGAGGTGACTCGAGTTGTACACGACGAGACGTCCGAAGGAATTCAGGCTTCCTTCTGCTGATGCAAAAGCTGACCATGGACCTGTAACAGAAATCAGAAGTTACTATAACGGAGTTCCGTGGACACAATATACGCCGCCACAAAATATAAAGATCAAGAAAACCGTAAAATCGCCACTTCCAGCAATCCACCCATTGTAGTAGTGACATTGAGCTAGTTTCGTGAAAATCTGATCATTAGATTAGGAGGAGTTGCGTTCACAAAGCTCCACTAAGAGCAAGCTACAGATACAAAGTTGAAAATGGCATAAATCTTACAAAAATCAAAGAACCGAAAAATCGCCCCTTCATGCACATCTACTCATTGTAGTGGTGACATTGAGCAAGTGTCGTGAAAATCTGATGATTATTTTTAGGAGGAGTTGCGTTCACAAGAAATGGACATACGGACGGAGAAGATGACACCAGTATACGACCGCCTCCGGCGGCGTATAAAAATCGTACTCACTTGATTAAATGTACCTTATCATGATTTATTGTTGTTATTACAGACTGTAACAATTCAATAATTATAGTATTAATAAGCATGCTTATCTCTTACCTCTATGACCTATAGGATCAGCTCCTTCTCCACTTCCGGCGGCGCCGGTAATTATATGTACCGGAGCTTGTGGGTGATTATAGTTCTTGGCAATAACCTTATCCTTGTAAACAGGCCAAAGACGTTCATAGGAATGTTCATGAGCTTGAAGTATTAAGTCTACACCTTGAGCATAGAAGAGATCTTCAAGGCTGAAATAAGAAAACAGCATTGGTAACTAGTCCATAGGATAAAGCATTATATCAAGGTGTGCTTAAAATTTTATCTTTCAATTCTATATCAGTGCCTCTAGTGCGGTCGTGCCAGGAGTCTCTGGTTTACAATGTGAAACTCTGTTTGAAGCTTGATAAACTTATCACCAGCCGCGAGGATGGGTACTTTCACTAACGTGAACACTAATACCTAAGAACTGAACAGTTCCAGTCAGAAGAAAACATAGGCGATCACTCAAAATAAACTTTTTTCTGTTTTAAGTCTGGAAGACAAGTATCCCGTATGAAGAATGAAATTATTCCAATACTGTTCTTTACCACCATATGTATGTAATGCATTTTAGCTGCACGTTTTACTTACCCATTCTTGACAAGATGACCGAATATTCGGCCCGTGCAGTCGTCAGCGTCATTGTTAGAACAGTACAAAGGTCTATGACCCATTGCAACTATCCACGGTTGTTTGTCTCTGTTCTGATTGGCTTGTGTTAAATCATCCAACAGCCAATAGAATTGCTTACAAACGAAGTAAGCATTATTAATGAAATAAACCTCCGAAGAAAAACTGAAACGAGAAATTATAACCATACCTCATGGTAACACAGAAAGGGAGAATTACTGATTATTATCATATCAATTCACCATAGATCTACATGGTAACACAGAAAGGGAGAATTACTGATTATTATCATATCAATTCATATCATAGATCTACATGGTAACACAGAAAGGGAGAATTACTGATTATTATCATATCAATTCACCATAGATCTACATGGTAACACAGAAAGGGAGAATTACTGATTATTATCATATCAATTCACCATAGATCTACATGGTAACACAGAAAGGGAGAATTACTGATTATTATCATATCAATTCACCATAGATCTACATGGTAACACAGAAAGGGAGAATTACTGATTATTATCATATCAATTCACCATAGATCTACATGGTAACACAGAAAGGGAGAATCACAGATCTACATGGTAACACAGAAAGGGAATTACTGATTATTATCATATCAATTCATATATAGATCTACATGGTAACACAGATAGGGAGAATTACTGATTATCATCATATCAATTCACCATAGATCTAGAACACAGAAAGGGAGAATTACTACATATCAATTCACCATAGGTAACACAGAAAGGGAGAATTACTGATTATCATCATATCAATTCACCATAGATCTACATGGTAACACAGAAAGGGAGAATTACTGATTATCTTCACCATAGATCTACATGGTAACACAGAAAGGGAGAATTACTGATTATCATGGTAACACAGAAAGGGAGAATTACTGATTATTATCATCATATCAATTCATTATTATCATATCAGATCTACATGGTAACACAGAAAGGGAGAATTACTGATTATCATCATATCAATTCACCATACCTCATGGTAACACAGAAAGGGAGAATTACTGATTATTATCATATCAATTCACCATAGATCTACATGGTAACACAGAAAGGGAGAATTACTGATTATCATCATATCAATTCACCATAGATCTACATGGTAACACAGAAAGGGAGAATTACTGATTATTATCATATCAATTCACCATAGATCTACATGGTAACACAGAAAGGGAGAATTACTGATTATTATCATATCAATTCACCATAGATCTACATGGTAACACAGAAAGGGAGAATTACTGATTATTATCATATCAATTCACCATAGATCTACATGGTAACACAGAAAGGGAGAATTACTGATTATCATCATACAGAAAGGGAGAATCAATTCAAGAAAGGGAGAATTACTGATTATCATCATATCAATTCACCATAGATCTACATGGTAACACAGAAAGGGAGAATTACTGATTATTATCATATCAATTCACCATAGATCTACATGGTAACACAGAAAGGGAGAATTACTGATTATTATCATATCAATTCACCATAGATCTACATGGTAACACAGAAAGGGAGAATTACTGATTATCATCATATCAATTCACCATAGATCTACATGGTAACACAGAAAGGGAGAATTACTGATTATCATCATATCAATTCACCATAGATCTACATGTAAAGTTGAGATCTGAGATCCAGATCATCAGATATAGTAATATTATGTCTCTCCATCCCACTCGTCTCTATAACTGAAGACATGACAATTTTACAATTTTCTTGGAGGAAACACTACGTAGTCCTACCTGATGAAGTGAACAGGTCCGACATTATAACTGTACCAGAGATGGTCAAGAGGCATCGGCCAGTCGACTCCTGGCATGGAGAATCGTGTCCGGTATTGATGGAGACTATCGGCTAGCTCTGTGTAAAACAGGGGGATATATACAATATCAGTCGCAAAAGTTTCAACCTGTATATATATATATACTTATATAAAATGTTTACTTTTGTTCATTATTTCTATTTCCGATTTCTGTAACATGCCACCTAAAGGTCAATTTACCGTCCGTCTATCAGTCACATGTCATCCTGTTGTCTGCAACTTCATTCAAACAGTAAATTTTACAAAGCTGTTTGATATTATAGGTTCATATTGTGAAAAATGGGTGAGTTCTATCTATTGCTATTGCTATCAATCGATAAGTGTATAATATAACCTTTTTACCTATAAAATATTACTACAGATCTGATATTTTCCCATGGTCCGCATTGCGTATTTATTCTTAACACTACATCACAAAAATATGCATGATACATGCAGAGCTCGCCTCATAATAAATGATACCTAAAGAACCGTTAATAAAACTTTCAAACATCAGCAACAAAAGGAATTGATTAATCTAGATTTGTTTGAGGCCAGGTAGAATTATCCGACCGTCATTAACATCTTAGATCTGGCCCTAATTTGGTGGGGTAGGAGTTGGGGGTAGGAATTAAGACCAAAAATAACTGTCCCCAGTCTAACCGCTATGCTCAACAAAAGAAATGTGGTACAAGAATGCCTACACTTCTACGCGAAACAGAGCCACCCCGAGTAAAATCTTTTACTATCGCATAATAGTCCCAAATCTCACTATGCAAGCCTTCTGCTTGCAAACTGAGGAAATGTCGATACTAGCAACATCTGTTCAGTTCTGGAGTTGCTAATAAGGAAAATCAAGCCTCCAGATTAAAACGAGCCTGCTTAAACAGTGTAATTACTACCACAGGTCCTTTGTAAATACACGATAAAAGCAAATAAATGAAGATCGCTTTCCATCACATGGCTAATATACAAAAACAAAGACAGGTCAGAAATAGGTATTCGAATGGAACCAAACATTTTGGAGGACTATTCATACATTTCATGTGTTCATTTTCTTTTTCAAAACTTTTTCAGAAAATCTGGAATTTTACACAATATGATCAAGTTGGTGATAAAAAACCACTTAAAACACAGTTACGATTCGGCTTTTACAAGACAACAACAAAAATTGTTGACAGAGGAGTTCATGAGCATGTATCAGTCCACGAAACTTAGAAATAATACTGTCTGTGTTTGTTGGGAACTCTGCATCTATCAATAGGCGAAAAGGCAGCAAACAGTAGTGGAAAATAAAAAACGAAATGAAAAAATCATTTCCAACATCCAAACTACTTTAATATGAAACAGCAACAATTTTTTTTACGAAAGAAGTTAATGTCAATGTTGATTAAATAACAGGCAAAGCCTATATAAATATTCTCCACATAGTGGCCAGAGTAGAATAAATTAATCAAATCAAAACCTAGTATTTTAAGAAGATTGAAATGAAAATAACAAAATAATTAATACAGAAATATAGAAGAAAAAAATGCGAGATAACTCTCGTACATCAAACGCAAAAATATACAAAGGCACATGTACATCAATACAAATACAGAATTTTTATATTATTCTTTATACATTCAATTATAAACATTTTATTTAATTCAATAATCAATAGGATATGTATATTATGTATGAATCAACATTCATGCTCGACTAGCCTTTACTATATTTGTCTTTATAGATAACAATATTTAATTATGCAAAATGAAATTCGGTGCTACATCTTGCCTTTCTAAGTCACATACGTATTAAAATGACGTAATATTCCAATAAAAAGGCGTATATCATTCAGTTTAGTTTGTAAGTCCATCACAAGGACAATAATGTTGAGTCTATTATAGGCTTCTGTATATATTTTTTTGTATGTGTTTTTCCATGTTGCACCTGTTTGCAGTGTAAAACCTAAGTGCTGGTAACGGGGGGTAAATATGCACCGATTGAATCGAAAACATATACAATGGGAGGTAACTCGTATTCATGAAAAGAAATTACATATTACAGGCTTTTTTCATGATGATGACACCTCTCTTATTTTTTTTAACTATTCTTTCTTATTCAAGACGACATTTAGGATAATTGGTCTACCTGTTGATATGCCGTGCCACCAATAATCTTATTAGCTAGATTTACTACAACGACTAAACAACGTAATAGTATTGACTGAGTAGTACATCAGAACTAGTACAGGGAACTTCACTGTATACCCTTCATGAATTTTTTATATCAACGAGCCGTGCAATCGTTTCTGATTCATTTTATGTCACGATAAGGAGTCAAGAAACCCCTTGTTAACAGAAACAATTCGTGTTGAAAGTCGATAAAAAACATGTTGGCATTTTGATATATATACATTCTAAAATTTACCGTGATTTCCGGGTGACGTCATATACGGCACGTGTGCTGCAATTGGCTGAATAAGCTCCATAAACAGATCGCCGACCTACAAAATAAAACATATATCTTTTAGAAGACAAATTTTCATCATAACAAAGTTCAATGAGTATTTTGTTAACTCATGGGAAACTTCTCGGAATCCGGAGCGTTTTGTGTACATCAATTTTGTACAAGTTATTCAAATGCAGTCACTTACCGAACCTCCATTACTTTCAAGGTTGTAAGAAATATCTCCTATATGCCAAACAGCGTCATAGTTTTGTGTCGTCACTTCCGTTTTTAGAACTTCCACCGTTTTCTGGCCTTTGTCAAATCCCATGTCTCCGTAAACAAGAAACTTAACAGGTCGGTCCTGTAGGCAAATTTAATCATGTACAAAACAACGTTCTTATGTGTTAGTTACAATGTGCCACCTCCAGATGTTGTAAGATGTAGACAGTGGTGGAATTTCGGGTTTTCGTTATTAAAGAATCATACAAAAAAAAACCCACACACACAAGTGAATAACATCTTTTAGTATAAATTAAGAATTAGATACAGAAGTGTCAAATGATTAATACAGCCAGGATTCTAGGACTTGTCAGTGAAACTGTGAAGAAGGCGACTGAGGAAAGTCAGAATCGATCCCAAGACAATCAAAATCAATAAGGAAGGTGCACTTACCCTAAAATTCCCTAATTTCCTAGATTCTATATATATTATAATTTTAAGAGAACACCAAGTATAAATGAATTAAATGACAGGTGCTTGTCTTTGATTCTTGTCTTTTGATGGACTTAGTGATAAGGTCACTTGTATGTTTACTGGTGTGTTTCTTAGAAAACTTACATGTGTCTGGGCTTGTGTTGTAAAAGAAAATTCCTCGCTTGTCTCGTTACTACATTGAAGTATATATCTATAGTTCTGCAGAGGTGACAAGTTCTGAAAAAATAAAGTTATCATAAATAAGGTTACAATGTTCTGTTGTTCAGAAGAATCTTCTTATATAGACAACAATCCGGAAACAGATCTATGGAGCCTCAGTAGGAAGGTGTAGCCAGGAAAGTGACAGAGTGGATAAATAGACAAACGTATTTCACATTACGATTGTAACAGAAAATGTGGATTAATACAAATAATTGAATAACATTTAGTGTACATCTAAAATTAATTGATAAAGCCATGTACTATTCTAGATAGATCAATAAATGCTTTAAGGTATAAAATGTATGATCTGATGTTTGTTCATGTAAGTGCGAATAAATCCTAATTTTCAAACGGAACACGAACGGCATTCAGACAATGATGTAGGATTGTTTCCTAGCAAAACAATTCAGAAATGAACAGTAAAATTCCACTGTATTTTGTAATGCTATGAGGTGTTGAGGAGAAATCAGAGTTTGAAACCATATGAGATTTACACGATACTGAAGATGAAATGTCCTCGTTATTCTGACGTACGAAATAATAATAAGTAAACATTTTAAAAAATGAGCATGTTTAAAATGATCCAATCATCTAATGGTACAAATACCAAAGTAATCGAAAAAATGCCAAAATTAATGAAAGTGGTTAATGTTTTGAGAAATCAATAAATGTAACCGATTGCTGTGTACGTTTGTATTGAGTAGCTTGTGATATTGATACTGTATATAAGTGAGTTTATTGGAAATACTGTCATACTGGAGTTGTTTTTAACTCAACCAATGAATTGAACTTAAACTTTGTTGGAGCTGTCTCTTAAGGGACAAACGTGAAATTCTATCAAACTAGGTCGAGTAAGTTTACAACATGCTATATCAATGCTGCTTTTACTTTTATCTAAAAAATTAGGACCGCTTCACTACATTTTTATGTCTGATCTTTATATTCAAACGAAATCTTCATGCAAGCAAGAGTTTACGAGGAGCAGATACGTATAATCTTAATCAAACCCCATTAGCAGTACCCGCCGTGTTATGCTGAGGACAAGGTGAACGTTGTCGTCAATATATCATTTCGAGAGCAGATATGGTTTTGATAATTAATACTAAATATATGTCTACCATATTACTGATCAGATCCAACTCATCTATGAGCTCGAATCCCTGTGAATGAATTTCCCTACTAACCAACATTTCGGCCATGTGTATAAATCTCATGGCATTCCAATTGTTTGTAAGCAGCTCCGAATGACGGGCTTCCACGCGCATGCGCTGTCCATCAGTTGCCCAATATTCAGCATGACACATGACAGCAGCAGAAGTCGACCACGTGACCTTCATGATGTCAATCGTTGAACCGAAACTTAAGTGTATCTGAGATATTTTGCCCATTACGGGTAGCACTGGAAAAAAAAACAGAAAATAGGAATTAGGATTCAAATCTTTTGACCAGTACACAGCCGTGAAAGCTTGGTTACAAAATAGAAATGATTTGAAAACTTTTGTTTAGATTTTAGGAGTGTGATCCTTTCGTAACACATATTTAGAGAAATCAGCTGATGTTATGTTGTATACTATATAGTATATTGGTGTACAGGCGTCTGAGAAGTCTACAATCGATAGAGGTGATTCAACCTAACCTATAACATAAATGATGGATTGGAATCTGGATCGATAGTTTATCAAAGTATGTGACCCACTAACGTAAAACTGTAGGGTGACACCTGCCAACTCCTATGATGTTATCAGCTGACGAGACGTATGTGTGTCGTCACTTTATCTGGTATTTGCCAACAGCAACATTTAGGAGACAGAACATTTTAGTAATTACCACCCAACCATCTCTGAGTAATTATGTCTCATTTAATATGCGATCATCAGATGATCAAACTATTATCAACAGACCAAGGCAGGTGATGTGGTGTCATAACCTTATAGCGGTCAAATATTGCCCGTAGGCTTAGATAGTTTACACCGGGTCACTTGTCAAACTGCGACTGTATACTTTTCACTTCCGGGTTGACGACAATACCTGTAGCTATCCATCTAGTTCTCACTTTGTCTCTCATTCTGTTTTCCGCACTTTGATAAATAATTGTACAACGTCTATGTTCAATCAACTTTATTCATTTTCAACAAACATGGAACAAATTCGGTCATTCTTGTGACGGATGGGAACGCGTAAGAGATCTTAGTGAGAACAAAACCAGAGTACAACGTGGCCTGGTACGTTTATAGATGTCCAGCATTGTTTCTGGGTCGACACAGTGAAATGCGAAGGCCAGAATATCTGCTTCATACTCTCTATTCTGTTCTTAAATAATACATATCTGATTATTCCTGTGGTCATTGATACTGTGTACCTATTCAACTGATATCGCTGTCACAAAAAACCGGGGGTCCCAGTGATACACCGGGATAAATCCGGTAGTATGTCGTACACAATTACAGTACATATTTCCGGTTTCCTGCTTGTTGTTGACTACGATGTCTGTAAGGTTTTAAGAAAAGTAAAATATCGTAAATATTTATAGAAATCTGACAAAGATTTGAGACCGCTATAAAACTTGTAGGAACACGAGACTTTGACCGGCTTGTAATGTTTCCTACAAATATCAGTATCGTTTGAATATGAAAATATTACAAATTTGTTTATTTTAGCATAATATCTTTACTTCCGCAATGATATGTGGGTATCGGTACATATTAAACTTTAAAGTCAAATTTTAAAAACTGAAATTGTCTTTAAAGGGTTGAAACTTATTGGTGTAAATTTTTGACGATTTTAGACGAGAGACAGAGACAGAGAGAGACAGAGAGAGACAGAGAGAGAGAGAGACAGAGAGACAGAGAGAGAGACAGAGAGAGAGAGAGAGAGAGAGAGAGAGAGAGAGAGAGAGAGAGAGAGAGAGACAGAGACAGAGAGAGAGAGAGAGAGAGAGAAACACTTAGGTTTCATCCGGTCCGTTTAATAGAGAGAAAGAAAGAAGAAGGATGAAGAAGGTGGCTGGAACCTGTAACCACCGACCGAGACGGTTATTGTTCTGCATTTTATATGAGACGGGGCGTAATATTCGGAAAATCGGAGGGCTTCGAGAAAAATTAAATATGAATGTTGATAATAAGTAAGACACATGTTTTCTTTATTTATTTTATTATGAATTCCTTAAAGCATGTAGTTAAGACATGTTGCTGTGAAGTGATTTTAGCATTTTTACATTTTAAGCTATACAGCTTATACACTATAAGACATACCGATACAATGTTATACTGTGTGTCTATATCTCTAACAAAGTGTTACACTATAAGACATACTGATACAATGTTATACTGTGTGTCTATATCTCTGACAAAGTGTTACACTATAAGACACACTTACTGATACTGATACAATGTTATACTGTGTGTCTATATCTCTGACAAAGTGTAACACTATAAGACATACTGATACAATGTTATACTGTGTGTCTATATCTCTGACAAAGTGTTACACTATAAGACATACTGATACAATGTTATACTGTGTGTCTATATCTCTGACAAAGTGTTACACTATAAGACATACTAATACAATGATATACTATGTGTCTATATCTCTGACAAAGTGTTACACTATAAGAGATACTGATACAATGTTATACTATACAGGACTGGTATACTGTGTGTCTATATCTCTGACAAAGTGTTACACTATAAGACATACTAATACAATGATATACTATGTGTCTATATCTCTGACAAAGTGTTACACTATAAGACATTTTGATACAATGTTATACTGTGTGTCTATATCTCTGACAAAGTGTTACACTATAAGACATACTAATACAATGATATACTATGTGTCTATATCTCTGACAAAGTGTTACACTATAAGACATTTTGATACAATGTTATACTGTGTGTCTATATCTCTGACAAAGTGTTACACTATAAGACATACTGATACAATGTTATACTATGTGTCTATATCTCTGACAAAGTGTAACACTATAAGACATACTGATACAATGTTATACTGTGTGTCTATATCTCTGACAAAGTGTTACACTATAAGAGATACTGATACAATGTTATACTGTGTGTCTATATCTCTGACAACGTGTTACACTATAAGAAATACTTATACAATGATATACTGTACAGGACTGGTATACTGTATGTCTATATCGCTGACAAAGTGTAACACTATAAGACATACTGATACAATGATATACTGTACAGGACTGGTATACTGTATGTCTATATCGCTGACAAAGTGTAACACTATAAGACATACTGATACAATGTTATACTGTGTGTCTATATCTCTGACAATGTGTAACACTATAAGACATACTGATACAATGTTATACTATACAGGACTGGTATACTGTGTGTCTATATCTCTGACAAAGTGTAACACTATAAGACATACTGATACAATGTTATACTGTGTGTCTATATCTCTGACAAAGTGTTACACTATAAGACATACTAATACAATGATATACTGTACAGAACCGGTATACTGTATGTCTATATCGCTGACAAAGTGTAACACTATAAGACATACTGATACAATGTTATACTGTGTGTCTATATCTCTGATAAAGTGTAACACTATAAGACATACTGATACAATGTTATACTATACAGGACTGGTATACTGTGTGTCTATATCTCTGACAAAGTGTAACACTATAAGACATACTGATACAATGTTATACTGTGTTTCTATATCTCTGACAAAGTGTCACACTATAAGACATACTGATACAATGATATACTGTATGTCTATATCTCTGACAAAGTGTAACACTATAAGACATACTGATACAATGTTATACTGTGTGTCTATATCTCTGACAAAGTGTAACACTATAAGACATACTGATACAATGTTATACTATACAGGACTGGTATACTGTGTGTCTATATCTCTGACAAAGTGTAACACTATAAGACATACTGATACAATGTTATACTGTGTGTCTATATCTCTGACAAAGTGTCACACTATAAGACATACTGATACAATGATATACTGTATGTCTATATCTCTGACAAAGTGTAACACTATAAGACATACTGATACAATGTTATACTGTGTGTCTATATCTCTGACAAAGTGTTACCCTATAAGACATACTGATACAATGTTATACTGTGTTTCTATATCTCTGACAAAGTGTTACACTATAAGACATACTGATACAATGTTATACTGTGTGTCTATATATCTGACAAAGTGTTACACTATAAGACATACTGATACAATGTTATACTGTGTGTCTATATCTCTGACAAAGTGTTACCCTATAAGACATACTGATACAATGATATACTGTACAGGACTGGTATACTGTGTGTCTATATCTCTGACAAAGTGTAACACTATAAGACATACTGATACAATAATATACTGTACAGGACTGGTATACTGTGTGTCTATATCTCTGACAAAGTGTAACACTATAAGACATACTGATACAATGTTATACTGTGTTTCTATATCTCTGACAAAGTGTTACACTATAAGACATACTGATACAATGTTATACTGTGTGTCTATATCCCTGACAAAGTGTAACACTATAAGACATACTGATACAATGTTATACTGTGTGTCTATATCTCTGACAAAGTGTTACACTATAAGACATACTGATACAATAATATACTGTACAGGACTGGTATACTGTGTGTCTATATCCCTGACAAAGTGTAACACTATAAGACATACTGATACAATGTTATACTGTGTGTCTATATCTCTGACAAAGTGTTACACTATAAGACATACTGATACAATAATATACTGTACAGGACTGGTATACTGTGTGTCTATATCTCTGACAAAGTGTAACACTATAAGACATACTGATACAATGTTATACTGTGTGTCTATATCTCTGACAAAGTGTTACACTATAAGACATACTAATACAATATTATACAACCAGTACTGGTATACTGTATATGTCTATATCTCTGACAAAGTGTTACACTATAAGACATACTGATACAATGTTATACTGTGTGTCTATATCTCTGACAAAGTGTTACCCTATAAGACATACTGATACAATGTTATACTGTGTTTCTATATCTCTGACAAAGTGTTACACTATAAGACATACTGATACAATGTTATACTGTGTGTCTATATATCTGACAAAGTGTTACACTATAAGACATACTGATACAATGTTATACTGTGTGTCTATATCTCTGACAAAGTGTTACCCTATAAGACATACTGATACAATGATATACTGTACAGGACTGGTATACTGTGTGTCTATATCTCTGACAAAGTGTAACACTATAAGACATACTGATACAATAATATACTGTACAGGACTGGTATACTGTGTGTCTATATCTCTGACAAAGTGTAACACTATAAGACATACTGATA